GAAGCCTTTGCGTAATGGATTGGGTGGCTTATGCCTTCCTGATCAATTATCCCTAGGTCCTTCTTACTTGAGGCATGTCACAGCTACTGATTTCCAAGGAAATACTGGAATCTACTCTTGTGGCGTGGAGATGGGACTTTGTATTTAGAAGAATTGAATTCAACTTGGTTTTCCATAGACCATGATTAAGCTGCGTTAAATGGTTCTGGATGCGACAGCGAGTCTTTGTATTGTGTCACTGTATTCCATATTATGGCATCGTCCGCAACTTGTATGGTTTTTGGTCCTGGTATACCAGGACCAAAAACCATACAAGTTCGATAAATCATTTGTAAATGCCAGGAAAAATCGGGAGGCATTTACAGACCCTTGTGGAACTCCGTGGACAAGGGAATCGCAAACACGAATCGGTATGGTCCTTTATCGGAGAGAGGTTAAAACAGAACACACCGCACCACTCGATGTTGAAATGTGATCACAAAATAACACTTTCTCGCACTGGTGACCAACAAAATGAAGCATTGTCGGGTGCAGGTATTACCGATGCAGAGCGTGCATGTTTATGCTAAGTCCTAGTGAATTTCACCGACAGTGTGTACGACGTCTCTAGTTAGTTATCTGTTGTTGCCCAATAAGATTTTGTTTTACGTTCATCCAATCATCCAATTACTCCATTCCGACGTTCTCTGGTCTTTGTAAGCTTACAGACTCCAGGCGTATGATTTTTATTCTGCTCTGGATTTCATTCCTTCAGAGATCACTGATTCTTCGCATCTCTTGAGGCGAAGTGTTTGCGATGGAGTCTTTTGTCACAAACAATAAAAATTACTGGGCAGGCGATCTTGTCCTCGTTTGAACTCATTAGCAATGCTACTACTATTACTACCACTTCTTCTTCTTCTGTCCACATGGGGACAACGCCAACGGGAAATATTCCAGAACGGCATCACACTGGTTCAGTTCTCTGTGAATTGGCATAACCTAAACACGAATGTATCTTATCCAATCGGTGCACCCGAGGGCTTTATCGTTCATTGTGTAGCTCAGAGGTCCGAATATCAGGTCAGTGGCATGAACAGTTGTTGTTCAACATAGACATCAACATAATTCGCCCTGTGATTGACCTGTGCCATGATAAAAAACGAATCTGGACAAAGAATCCATCACAAATGGGACCAATCCTTAGCTGAAAACTCTTCTCACCAGAGTAAATATAATAGTTTGAGACAGATATACCTTATACGAAGTAGGACAGAACACATCCGGTATTAGTGAACCTATCGGAGAACTTCAATCTGTGATTTTTGTTTTTGTTTGACTGAATGGGATTATATTAAACATTTGGAGCATGGGATTTGTTCCCTAAAGGGATTACTTTAATTCTGTCGGTAAAAATTATTGTCTTTCGTATTATTTGATTTTACTCTGTACTTATAGGAAATCGGTTGGTTCGATAGACAGGAAAACCAATCCGGTGTGCTGACTACTCGACTGGCCACAGAAGCATCCATGGTTCGCACTGTTTCTGGATTTCAACTCGCTGTCATTCTGGAGGGTTCGGTGTTGATTCTCTCCGCGTTCGTGATCGGATTTGTGGACTGTTGGCAAGTCACGCTGCTTCTTCTGGCCTTTGTTCCGTTCATGATAGTCGGTGGAATTTTGGAGGCAAGTTTCTTCCGCACACAGAGGATGCTAAAATTTCAACGTTTTTAATCTTCTTAAAATGTCAATTTTAATACATGTTATGTTTAGCTCTCTTTACGACTCCCGAAAAGAACAAACTTGCTCACCAGAGATCCGGTTGCGCTTGTTGATCGTTGCAGTTCACATGGATAATCACAAAAGGTCGATTATTGGAAGCATACAGCGGATGGTACGATCGTAAATCATAGTGCAAATTATGCATCTCTCTTCAAGCTGAATATGTAATCAGCAAATTCGTTAGATTATGATAAGTTCCCATCTGAAGTATTTAAATGTGAGTGAATCCCGATTTACACGGCCTTTATTCCTAATCAATGACAGGTTGCATTAGGAAATCACATTCTATACCTATCTGTGTAGTTAATCACGTTGTTTGCACGTGCTCTACACTATATTGAAGGCAAACTCAGCTCAACACCTTTGGCAGTCACCATTGGTCAAAAATTGCTCGACGAGTAAAGCATATCTTCGTTCGATTTCACAATATTCACGTCCTTTTTCTCAAAACCGTAAACCTACCTCTCTTGTTTAATCATGACGGAATGTTTCTGATAAAATGGACCGCGTGAATTCAGAAGCAAAAAGAGACGTTTCAGCTACACTGAAATCCCTAGGACTCCGGGAAAACCAGTTTTAGGTTGTGTTTATAAGCGAGTTCAAATGCTGATAATGATAAACAATGATAAGCAGAACTGATCAAAAGGTGATCAGACACTAAACATTTAAATAAATTAGGCAATGCAGTAAAAGCAGCACCGTTTAAGAAACACTCTCAGTTCCATTGCTTTTATCATGCCCAAGAAATGGGATTACGGTCTGGTTGAGATCAGGAGGTAGACAGTAACTCGATCCCCTTAATCGCCGGATGTTGGTTGCCGTCTCAGAGACCTATGCCAGTACAAAGCCTGATGTTTCGTGGGATAGAAGCTCTTCTGAGGTAAAGTTGCAGTTCGAGTACGAACTCATTTTTTACGTGCTTTTTCAAGCTCCATGCGAGTGGAATCACTCAGGCTATTATCAAACCAGGATTCAAAACTGTCCATTATGGCTATCAAAAGTTTGAATAATATTTATTTAACTAATGACATTCTCTTTCAGTCACTCTAAACAGGTCATGAAGGATTAGTTTGGAGACCAGTTACAGATTAGATTATTGTCAAATCAAAGAGGTGATTTATAGAGGTTCTGGGTCAGGGTTTGTCTCGATTTCAAAACTGGTCTCTTAATACAGAACTGCTGCGTTGGTCAGGATTCGGTCTGAGCATGTAAGGCATACACTGGTAGGTCTCATCCGAGGTCGGTTGCTCGTAAATCCCTCAACATCACAGTCAATATTTTACCATTCATCTCGAGAAATACCAAGGAAAGTTTAGTTTAGATTGAGAAGTGTCTTCTGCGATGACTTGAAGAAAATTACCTTAACAGAAATGACCCTATTCTTTCCAAATTCACTGCATTTAATCCAAACTGGGTTAACAAGAACACCGAACAAGCGGTTGGCTTTATTGTGAAGTTGACTGGAACACTAAAAAACCAATAAAAAGTAAAAATACAATACCTTATTGTTTATTTGAGATGATTTCTGAGTACGGTAACTTTGATTATTATCATTCGAACAGCAATTCATCCGATGCCCAAATGAATCCCGCCGCTTCCTTCTATCTTCCCAGCCTCCTTATATCTTCATACAGTTTCTGATTGTCCAAGACGTTCCCTGTCGCCCCACCAAAAAGTAAATAAAAAACTTCACAACTTTAAGTCCCATTATCGAAAATAAACCACAGATATTAAAATTTTTAATTGACTTATATTTCAAAATAAGCAGTGATGTCTCACAGGAGCACAGGTGTTCTTTGAGAAGCACCGAATAACGAGTTCTGTGAAGTATTCATTTATGTTTCAATAACCTAATTGCCCGAATAAAGGAATGAAGAGGCTTCCCGGAAGATAATTTATCTTTTGTTACTCCTAAAAATTTGAGCAAGACGGCTTCGCGTACTCCGCATAGAATCCTGGAGTTGCCCATTTTAGTTCAGAAAAGATTCATTTTTGATTCATTTGTAAGGATTATAGTGGGATAGATTAGGCTGATTTCAACTACAAATCCTTCAGATTTGATCTCCACACGCAATCATTAGTTCATCCTGGTAACCGCTCACTCATTAAGCACTACACTTAAGTTTCGCTCCAATTAGAGCTTATCAGTTATGCGTAAACACCATCCCGTTTGTTCTCTGAACTTGGAAGTCATCTCATTGAACGTGTGTATGGAAGCGCTTTGGTAACCAGCCTAAGCATATACTGCCAGGATTACCAATTAAAGTGTGTTCGGATGTCATCTTCAATGAGATTCAGTCCCTAATCGGTCAGAGTGTAATGAAAGGACACGCAGTTAACCAAATGTGAACTCCATTCAAAAGCTAACCAATAAACCAGGACTCATATGGGTTTGGGTTGAATTGTCTTAAACCCACCCAGCTAAATATGAACTCAAATTGACCTCACTGTTACCAGTGGATAGGACAGCGGGAGATGTGACGAACTGACCGTGCTTCGGATCTCATCTTCACGCAGATTACTCTGTGCACTAACTGAAAATTATCCTGTTACCTACATAATATTGTTAATGGAATAGTTAGTATTGAATATGAGAATATGGGTGCACCCCACCGCACTCAACGCACATCAGATGTCTATAGGACATTTTTGTGGTTCATTTGTCAAGGTGGAGAAGTTATATTCTCGAGCTTAAAGTTGCCCATTTTACAGAGGCTTTCGTGGACATTTTATCAGAGCATAATACTTCAAGGGTGGAAAGTTGTGGTGATCGTGTAACGAGTACGCACGCACCACGGTACAGGTTCCAAGTAACCAATCAAGAAACTGATTAACCGACCAATCCTGTGGTCCCAATTGGCACCAACCGGAGTGGCTGAATGCTAGAGGGCAAACAAATAAACCATATCGTTGTCGATTGGACACTGAAAAATCGACCAATGATTGTTCGTTGTTTGTGATATATATTTGCATGATTTTCTGAATAGAATTAACTGTAGCCACAGCTGGTCTTGGTTCTACCTGACTTTGAGCTATTCAGTTGGTTTTCAGTCCGATTCCGAGTTCGTGCTATTCGATTTCGACTCCTATTCTGAATACTACAAATTGTTGAGCAGTATATATTTGCCTTGACCTGTATTCTCCCTCTCCGTGTTTTTGTTCTGACAGTTTCGCACATTTCACGACGAGAACAACGCCGCGGGCAAAAAGACACAACGGGCTCAAATCGCTCAGGAATGTTTCACTTCGAACCGCACGGTGACCACTCTAAGTTTAGAAAGGCATTTTGGAAAGAAATTAATGCATACATTGAAAGAAGACAAAAAGTAGGCGATTCCTGTTCAATTTTTATGGAAAACATCTAGTTCGTCTTGGCATCTTCTCTGATAGTTAATGGCGTCTAGTTTTCTATCCGTGGGCAGATTGAAAAGTTTACTCTGAGTACCGCATTATGATCAAAACGATATTCAGTTTATTCTTCAATGTTGGCGACTGTGAAATCACATAAGGCAGTGATAGCAGTGGTTTACTTTGTCTCAACGGAATCAATCAATGACGGAGCTGGTCAAGTGGTTAGGATTACCAGCATAACGTCCCAGAGGTCATTTGTTCGAGCCTCGCCACCACTGCTTCACTTCCCTTTTCTGGTTGGCCGCTTCTCTTGTTCTAACATTTGTATACGCAAACAACAAATAGTCAGTCTGTGAGAGTTTCCAACCGGGTTATAACCCTGGAGGCTAGTACTGAGATGAGGAGAACCGATACTAGCAACAAGCTCGCAAAGCTGGAGTGTGCCCTATCGTGTATATTCGAAATGAGTAGCTGTCTGATCAGGTGCCGGTGATCGAGTGGGGAGTATGCTTGCGTTCTAACTGGGAGACCCCGGGTTCGAACCCCAGTGGGGTCGATGAATTCTCACAGGTGGTAGGACTCAACCAAACTGAAACAGCTGTACAGCGCTTCCTAGATTTTCATCTCATGCCTCATTTATACGAAGAATTCATCATAAAAAACATATATTCATTTAAGGGATATTTAGAAAATTTAGAAACCTTCGATAAAGAACATTAGAACACAAATCCGATGGTGAAAACCCGTATTTGCACGATTCATAATACTTTATGCACAGATTACTTGAATGCTCGGGGATAAATTTTCATACTCGATGGAACGATTATTTGGAATAGGGAGATGGGGGTGAGAGATCTGAATCAGATGGCTACATGTCTCTGTTTGGGTGAAGTCGATTGGGACTGGAGTGTTGGTAATGATGGTGATCAACTTGGGGCCACGGAAAGTGGAGAATTGGGGCCCATCGCTTCGCGCATGTAGTTCGGTGTGCGTAAGCACAATACCTCAGAGAGATTCAGGGGGGTACATGATTCACAACCTTTAAAGCTGATTCCCCTTCAGTAGTATGTCCTGTATCGACTGTACCATTTTCCAAGTGAAGTGGTCGCAGTACGACTACAAGCTGTAGCACTATCATTTCAAATTGTTTGGGCATCCTTTTAAGTGGTCTGAGAATCATTTCCAGCTGTATCGAACTGTAAGGTTATTCGAAGCCAGTTCGCGTTAGCACTCGGTTTACTTATGTTGGTGAAAGTGTTTTACTAGGGCTATATGATTTCAGCGAGAAAGATTATCAAAGTCAGAGGCCATACTCAGAAAACTGCATTTTTGAAAAACATCTCAGGTTGTTAAGTTAGAATTTCTTATACAGTGACATAACTATAATAAAATTTATGGTGTATTTTTACGGCCTCCACTACGTTATTTCAGTCGCAATCGGTTTACTGGAGATATCTGTTGTGTCCCAAATTAGTAGGAAGATGAGCACACAACGAACGGAGCAGTAAGTTTATTGCAGCCGGTACACAAACCGGGGAACAATCAGGAACGATCATATTGTAGGACGGTAGGCAGGCAGGCAGACAGACAGAGTCCGGCTC